ATTTTCGAAATTAATCTCGGTTTATTTATGCAAACATTGATTAGATCTTCTATTGGTCTATTTTCTTTTCTTCTCATTAAACTTCTGAAAATGCCATACGCGTCTTTATTGTAGTATCAGTATCGTCAACCTTTGTTTACGTTCATCATGCATGTTACTATCTTCTTCACCCTGTCTCTTTGTGCCTATTCATAATACAATACACATTACTTGTTTTCTTTTTTTCTTTCTTTCTATACTTTTCCTAACAGAATTTCATCACATATCGTTTTTCTCTATTGCTACATAGAGTTGCTATTGCGTGTTTGCATGAGTGCACAACCACTATGATAACTAATTTATGGTCATTATTAGGGGTGGAAAGTTACTCGTTACTTTTTCCAGGTAACTTCTCAAAAAGACAAATTATGACTTTCAATCGACCAAATACGGTCAATACATCAATTTTTCCGTTGGGAAGTTACCAGATAACTGGTAACGAAAAATCCGTTGCCACTTACTAAGTAACTCGTAACTTTATAAAATGATGTTTTGACCATATTCGATCGATTGGAAGCCATAATTCATCTTTTTGAGAAGTTACCTGGAAAAGTAACAGGTAACTTCCCTTCCCTAGTCATTATTAACCGAATCGAATCATTTTCGTTGGTTCGAGTTGAATTCAGTTCCGATTCACGTTTAAAAAATCAATTCGCGTTCCGCTAAATTCGACTTCGTTTCTGAAAAAGTGGTTCAATTTTTGTTATCTTAGTCCTCCCTATCAGGAATATACCACACCATAGAGTGAAACTTGATTCCAGAACAATAAAAGTGTGATTTATAGTTCATATCAGTGTAAGTGAATCCCAACTAATACAGTTGTGGATTAAAATAAACCTTTTAGTCTCAGCACTGAACCATCAGCAGCCTTTTTAGTGTTAATATTAATCTCAAAGCACTACAGGCGATTGTTTATTGTAATACAGAAAAATGGAGAAATTTAAAAGAGAAAAGGATAAAAGCATTATTCCGCACAGAAATAACCTAACTTTATAAACTCACGATTATTGCAAATGTTATGAAAAGAAACAGGCCTGTGTTATACGATTATTAAATTACGCACATAAAGCAATCAGTCAAGGCTCTTTTCAAATTGGTCAACTGCATTATATTTTTGTAAAATTGTTTATAGTTCAATCATTTAGTATTAATTGAAGACTTCACTGTATCCGACTATCTTTCCAAAATTAGTTTGGGTACGATTTGCATCGACTTCATCTTTTAAAAAAGTAATTTAAATAGTAGATAAGTACTCAACCAAACAACAAGTATCATGTTTTTATTGTGAATAGTCCGGGCGAAAAGATAAAGCAAAACAAAGCATTAGAAAAAAAGCTTTCATGAAGAAAGATTTAAATTGCAATTTTCAGAAAACAACTTGACGAAATATCATTTTGTTAGTTTAAATCATTTACAAAAAGTGCAAGTAACTAGATTATGTGAAACAAATCATATTGAATAATAGCATTCTTTTCTTTAATT